AGCGGCAAACTAGGCGGCCATCTCTGATAGTTCTATCTTCAATGTCTGGATTGAAGATGGATTGAGGGTCAGAGCATTGAACGCCTCTGCAAGATCATCCTTCTGTAGGACAGAGCTCTGAAGGGTTGAGAGTGTTGTCTAGAGTTCTGCCGTTGTAGAGCTCAACTCCTTCAGAGCCTCTATGATGGGGGCGAGGTCTTCTGTCATCGTGCGAGAGATGAACAAGCTTTTCAACTCGTCCATCTTTTGGAATACCGCTGTGGCGAAGGTTTGTAGCTCCCCCTTCGTCATATAAGAATCCTGGGAGTCTAGATCACCAACACATGGTGACCTAGTAGCCTCGGAACGAGAGGCACCCTCAGCGACTGGTTTGTCATAGTCCACTCGGGGACTTCCATGGGATCCTCGTACGTCTCCAAGAGGAGAGCCTACCCGTGTTCTGTCGATTTCTTGCCTTGTAGGTTCAGAGCCTAACATGGTAGAGGGATCGAGTGTGGACATTGGGTGTTCTAGACCCTCTGTCGCGGTGACTCTCACATATGCCTCTGAAGCACATTCTGGTTGGTCACTCATGTGTGGAGAGGCAACAGATGCCTCTCTAGGATGTGGCGAGTCCTTGGGCGATGGGACTCTTGTAGTAAAACCTTCATTCTTTTGAGAGGATGTAGGAGTAGTATGTGGTTGCTTGGTTGTGCGATCGACAGAGGACTAAAGAATGTCCTCTGCGAAGTTAGCTTGGGTTGGGCTTGGCATGTGCGTGCCTTGTTCAATAGGGGATCCCTCTAGAATAGGGCCCCTAGAAGTGTGGGTAGCACTGGGAGGAGGGCTACGATGTGTACCTGTGGTATCTTTTTCTCCCTCTCCTAACTCCACTTCCACTTCTTCTTCGTCTAAGACAACTTCTGTCCCCAACTCTGTCACGTCGATTGGTGCTCTGGACTCCTATTGGAAGTTGAAAATGACATCATGGACCTGCGCCGTTGGGGACTCCTCTTGTACGACCTTGTGCAACCTTTTGCGGTTGGGAGTAGTAGCCTTTGCGGGTCTCTCTGGAACAGCAGCCTCTGTGACCACAACCTCTGTCGGTTGGGCCTTCTTGGTTTTCTTCTTTTTAGGCTTCTGCAGAGTACTACTTGGGCCCTCTTCTTCTGCAGGCCTCTTCTTCCCCTTCTTCTTCACAGAAGAGTCGGCACCCTTCTGTGTCTTCTTGGTCTTCTTA